TTCTTGGACACATAGTGTCTAAAGCCGGAATTAAAACCGATCCGGAGAAAATCTCCGCTATTCAGCAATATCCGAAGCCGCAAACTGAGAAGGATCTTCGATCTTTTCTTGGTTTATGTAACTATTACCGGAAGTTCGTTAAGGACTTCGCTAGCCGCACCCGAGCTATGTATGGCCTGTTAAAGGGCGAAATCGATGTCAAGAATAAATGGAAAGCCGAACATGACGCCGAATTTGTTGATCTAAAGAATGCTTTGATTAACGCGCCGGTACTTGTAAAATTCGATCCGAATAAGCCGACAGTTATCGAATGCGATGCTAGCACAATAGGAATAGGAGCTATCCTACATCAGGATGGTCATCCTATTGTGTATGCTAGCAAGCTTTTAACCGACGCCGAACGTAAATATCCGATTACCGAGTTGGAATGTATGGCTGTGGTATTCGCATGCCGTAAGTTCCGACATTTTATCGAATATTCGCACTTCTATGTGCAAACCGATCATCAAGCGTTAACAAATTTGTTACGCTCCGTGTCGAGAAAGGAAGGCCTTAACGGTCGCCTTACCCGCTGGGCTCTCCAGTTAAGTAGTCACAAGATGACTATTCAGTATCGGCCGGGCAAGCAATGCGATAACGCCGACGCCCTAAGCCGTCATCCTGTTGGACCGCCGGTCGAGACCGCCGACGATGACGACTGGGACGATATGAAGGATCGGAAGTTTAGTACTCCGACTATTCGTGTAGTTACTATTACCGACCCAGCCGAACACGACGAAGATGAAGATAATTTTAAATATTATCGAGCCGAACAGGAAAAAGATTCTGTAGTCGAAAAGCGTATTCATGCCCTTCAGGGCCGAGCCGAAAGTACTCATTTAATTAAACGAGATCCGAACTTTGAGTTGTGGAACGGAGTCTTGTACCGAATAACCGAAAAAGACGGCCGCCTTGATCGACGGTTCGTCGTGCCGAAGCATATGCGTGTTGATATAATGCATGCTATGCACGATACGCCGGCCAGTGGACATCTAGGTCCACTGAAGACGTACCAAGCAATAGCACTTCGCTATTATTGGGACGGTATGGTAGCCGATATTGATAAATACGTACGCAATTGTTATTTGTGCCAACACCGTAAAACCGAACGGAAGGCACCGCCGGGTAAGCTACAACAGATAGCTATAGGAGCCCCGTGGTTCCGCGTACAAGTCGATTTAAAAGGTCCTTTGCCGATTTCCCCACGAGGTAATACGTATATCGCCGTTGCTATTGACGAATTAACTAAGTTCGTAATAGCTAAGCCGATTCCTAATGCGAAAAAGGAAACCGTAGCAAGTTTCCTTATTCACGACGTATTTTTGCCATATGGCACGCCGCACATTTTGAATACCGATCGTGGAACTCATTTCCATAATAAACTTCTTGAAGCGATTAATCATCGCTTGAAGATTCAGCATCATTTTGGTGCCGCCTACCATCCTATTGGTAGAGGATTAGTCGAACGTCAGATGCAAACTATTGCTGATTCGTTAGTAATGTATGCCGCCGACGGACGGGAAAAGAATTGGGACACCATTCTTCCGTTCGTAATAGCCGCTAAAAATCGTGTCCAAAATAAAACTACTCGTATGTCGCCGTATTATATGTTGTATGGACGCGAGCAAGTTATTCCAGCCGATACGGTCACTAAGACCAATATACCAGCCGACCATGCATCGATAGCCGAATATATGGATGAATTTCGCCATAATTTGGCCAGAGCGCATGAATTAGCCGAAATCTATATTCGAGACGAATTTGTTAAAACTGCCGAGCGTTTCAATAAGAAACGTAGGGAAGATGATTATCAGATCGGTGAACTAGTTCTTCTAAAGCGAGAGAAGAAGAAGGGTGAAACCGAATCTTTCCGTGAAAAATTCGGAGGTAGATGGGAAGTTACCGGTTTCCCCTATACTAACGCAGTCGAAATTGAGAACAAAGACAAGCCGGGAGAAACTCGTATCGTAAATTGCGAGCGTCTCAAGCGTTATAACACCACCGAAGAAGACCGCAAAGGAATTACTTCGAAAATTCCGAAAACAGCCGAGAATGGTTTTAACGTTAATGCCGAGCCGTTTATACCAGCCGATACTGAAGAAGTTACGGAAACCGTAGGCAATACTGCCGAAAATATTGCCGAAGTCGAAAGCGACGATAACCAGTGGGAACCGGAAAATCAAATTCCCGCCGATAATAGCCGCAAAATTAACAAGAAAAAGCCGATAAAATTAAAACTTCATGTACGCCGTGGTAAAACGGGATATGTACATGTACGATAATTTTATGATTACCGTGTGGTTTATACCACTTGTCGAATAATTTCCCCTCGATTTTGACCATTACTGTGGTCCATATCTCTTGTCGATTCTTTATGAATTAACCGTTCCGATTTGGAAATTCTCCGCTAATACAGTCGTCCATACTTCTTGCCGAAATTTTATAAATCAGCCGCTCCGAAATGGAGACTTTAATTACCACATCGATGAGGTCCATACCTCTCCTATTGAATCACCCCTTATTATGGTGATCCGTAATTTTGGCCGAAATAATTTCCACTACTGTAGTGGTTCTTATCACATCCCTTATTAGGAGGTCCATACCTCTCGCCGAATAAATTCCCCATTACTATCGTAGTGGCCCGTACTTTCGCCGATTAAATTGTTGATTTATTTAGCCGCTCCGATATGGAGATAATTGCCGCTGAATTATACGTAGTGGTATAATTAAATTAATACGTGGTTCGTACCTCTCGTACAATCCCCGGTAACCTTGAGGTTCGTACCTATTGCCGTCATTGCCGATTATTAACCAACAAATGTTGTGGTCCGTACTTCTCGCATTGATTGTGGGAACGTAGCGCCGATTGAATTATTTGCCGATTAAATAAGTATGTCACCGTTAAAAAGCTGAATAATTGTTAGTTATAATTCACAATTATTACTCTGCCGACCATTGTAATTATTCACAGTAGACATTACTGCCGAAATATTGTGTGATTGAAAGGAGAACGGACACATCTCCGTGTTGACCATGCACAAATCCCCGTATTATGAGGTCCGTACCTCTTTGCCGAATTAACGCCGTAAATTTGCCGATTAATATATCCGTTTATATTACGATATAAACCCGTAACCTTGTATTTTGCCGGAATTCAGCCGACACTGTAATTTATTACAGTAATAATGCCGGGGATCGTAGCATCTCCAGATTTACCATGCCGATGAAAAATTATCAGAACAATGCCGAATAAACTTAAAAGTGCCGAACAAAATCCGCCGTAAAATTGTCGATAAAAATAAAAATATAAATGCCGACCAATTATTGCAAATTAATTATTGTAATTTATTTGCAGACCGAATAAAGCCGACACCAATATGGTGTACAAACGATCGCAAGGACAGCAATAACCGACTGTTTTGATGCAAACAGTGCCGATTTCCGCTATCTAGCTGATATGCAGCCATTCAATGCTGCACCGCCGACGCATTGTGAATACACCTGTGTTTCCCGCCGACTTGAGAAACCTTCGACGAGAAGTAACTCGTGAAATTACCGCTGGGCAAATGTCCATAGCCGAGTACGAGTTTTACCGTACTATCCTTTGGGATAAAAACCGGATCGTTGTCTGACCGCTGACGAGTACAACATGTATGTGTTTGAGATACTCAACACTTGCCGGAAATGATAAGCCGACGGGCGAAATGCCTGACAAATTTGTTCTCAATAAAAAGCCGAATACACCGTAAGGTGAAGAAGCCGAAATTCCATAATAATATGGAAAGAGTCGCCGATGCGATTTGCATCGTATAAGGTACTTGGCGAAGCGTTAAATGCTGTCGTCTGAGCCGTTTTACCGATCCTGCTGATGCTGACACCGACAAGTTGACGGATGCGGGTGCCGATCAAGCTGCGGAATAAAAGTCGTGATCGGAGGATAAATCAAGCCTCCGGAATGGAACGCATCATACCGGAATGGATCTCATTAATTTCGCCAAATTTTTGTGTATTTTGTGATTGTTAACAATAGTTTATATGCCGCCGAATGGGTCGCATTTTGCTCATTTTTTTGCTCACTGTTTTGTTTGTTTAGTGGAGCCTCGAAGGGACCTCGGCGTTCCACCCGTGGCATGCTAGGAGATCAGCGCCACTGCACAGGGCAGTGGATGCCGCGCTGACTCTGGCCCTTCGCTACTGCACGGGCAGGTTGTGTGGTTTTTCTGCATGCCGCCGCAGATCGCGCGGAGTTGTCTCGCAATCAGGAATAAACCTGATTGCTCGAGGTGTTTTTCCCTTCTTCCCTGTTTTCCCGATTTGTGCATTTATTAAAAACTACATTTTTAATAAAAGATCGTTCTGGTCGTGGCCGCGTTGTGCACGGTTCTGTGTGGCAGTCGCAGGCCACTTTCAAATGCATAAAGACTTCTGCTGAAATATTCTGTGAGTTTAGCGATTGGCACCATCCGCTTAAGCTACTGTAGTCGTTCACTGTCAGTCTGCAAAACTTTTGCCACTCGGACGAACCCTGAGGTTACAGCGTTTCCGGATAACTCAGCATCCGCATGGTGTCGCGCAGCTGGTGCAGTTCCGTGTCCGCTGAAAATTGGATGACTAATGTCACGCTTTAGGGCAACACGACTGCGTGGATAATACTTATTTGCCGTTTAACAAGGCCTTTGCATAATCCCAGTGTCAGGCTGTCAGCAAAACTCCATGTAAATTTTGTTGCCAAAAAGCGACTTGCACTGATTAGTGGTGCTATTTACTGCTTTTCAGTTTTACTTAATTGATTTGCGCAAGGCTGCTTCCGCAACGATTCGCTGCACTCTAAATGCTTACAGTATTGTCAGAAGTTGTAATTCTGCGCGATTATTGTGTGCATTGTCAAAGTTGTCATTGTGAGCGTTGTGTCAATTACTTTGATTGCAGCAACATTTGCGTGTTGCCAATTAATTTTCCAGTGAACACGCAGCATTATGCATTCATTTCAAATCCTTCTTGCATGCGTAATTCTTCTGGGGTCTGCACCGAACAGCTTTGGGATAGGCAGAGGTAAGCTTATCACTCCAGCGAACATCTGTCGAACACTTGGCACTTGCTTTTGATCAGTAGATTGGCATTTCCAAAAGGCAATGACATTTTCGCCGCTGCCCGATTTCAGCACGGAACTGATAACGCGCGATCAATGTGAGTTGCAGTTCACCGCCCACTGCGGAGTGCGCTTTAACATTGGCAACTCCTTCGCGTGCGCCCAGAAACAGGGACTGGCCATCAACTGCAGCAGTGAAGCCTCAAACGAGGAAGTACAGCAACTGGCGCTAGCGTTGTCCAAGCCGCCACTCAAGGCGGTCTTCGTCAGTCTGAATGATGGACCCCAAGTTGCCTTTGAGAACTTGGCGCCAGTGCGCGAACAGGCGGTGGTCTTCCAGCTGCACAACTGCTGTTCTCCGCGCGCCACCAAGAACCTGGCCCAACTGCGGCTGCCGCATTTGCTGGAATTCAGCGTGCATCACTGCCGCGCCTTGGACGTCAGACGAGCCGACTTTTGGCAGTCCGCCAAACTCCGACTCATCCAGTTCGCTAACTCCACGATAGAATCCCTCGAAGTTGGCACCTTTGCGGATTTACCAGGATTACGTCTGCTGTCGCTGGAGCGCGGAATCCTTGAAATGGAAATTTTCCAGGCGGATATTTGGACCTATTTAGTGAGATTGCACTGCGGCTGCGAGTTTAAGCACTTCCGGCGCTGGTTTAGCATCAGCGGACTAAAGCAGTATGCGGAAGAGGGGGAAATATACCGCATCGAGTACGACGCATGGCGCAACGAGAACCTGGGATTTAACGATGTCTTTCTGCCCATCGACTGTGCTGAAGCACCATTTCCAAAGGGAGACGTTGTTATGCATACTAATCTATATTCGTTTTCGGTTAACGAAGACCTTTGTAAGTGTGAAACATCAACTTTAAAATTAAATACTATGAAATTGTTGGAAGGTTGATTTTTAGAAATAAAATATTCTTGCAGACAAGGAAGAATTCCCGGAGCGTTGTGAGAATAACACGAAAACCAGCGACGAATTTCCTACGTTTTCCAGCGAACCGATGACTTTGAATGAATGCAGCGCACTGCGTGAGCTTACTCAGTGTACTTGGCTGCGACGGAATTACCAGTACTGCGAGGAGCATTGGCCTAGAGGGCGCATTTACTCAAATACTAGTTGCAGTACTTACGATGATTATGTGCGGGAGATACGTCAGCTAGCCGTGGCTATGGCGCTGCAGCCGCCAAGACCAGCAACGTGGACCCATAAGGGATATGTTCCCGTCGCACCCGCCGACGTGGCACCAATTCGGCGGGACATTATTAGGTTCGACCTTATCGGATGCACGAACAATCGCTCTACAGCAGCAGCCCGAGATTTCCAGTTGACCAGTCTGCTGACCTTTGGAATTTCGAAATGCAGCGATCTGGACGTGCAGCGAGACGACTTTCAGCGCCTTTCATACCTGCGTATGCTGGTGTTTTCCAACACTACGATCCGCAGTCTTCAGGTTGACGCCTTCGGTTATTTGCAAGCATTGCGGTTGTTGACCCTGGAACACGCCATCTATTACACGGACCTAAAACCGACACTGGATTTTGGACCGCGAATTCGCAATTATTTGTGGCGATTGCATTGTGGCTGCGATTTTGCCTGGTTCCGACAATGGTGGAATGACAACACGCTGCTCTTACACGACGGCAACAACGTTGAGGGCGAACTGTTCGCCGTTAGGGACTACGCAAAAAGCTACCCACTGACCCGGGAACGTATTTTTCTGCCCATCGACTGTTCCAGACCGATTCCGCGGGGTGCACAAGGTGTCAATCGTACCGAAACCGCATTCTCTCGCAACGCGAAGTCTTGCGTTGCAAAATAGCGAGTGGGGCAGCGTATTTTTCCACCAAAATCGAAAATTTCGTTGTCGAATAATTTGTTCTTTCATCAAGAAGATCGTGGGAATTGATAGTGCCAGACTGCCAGTAACTGTAGGGATATTACTATGCAGTTGTTATGTGAAAATGAATATAATTATTGCTTTTTCGGGTTTTCGGGACATTCATTAAATTTTAAAAGAAACATACATACAATAAAACTCAACGCCAAAGATCCCGAAAGTATTTTTCCAGAATAGTTGAAGATTTGAAGGTGGTCTCATAATTTTCTTGAAATGCAAGAATGTGGTTTCTCTCGAAACGAATGCCTATCTTGAATAACTGCATGGTTATGTGTAACCAGGCCCGTCGCGAGACCCCCGTTAGTTTTTCAAAACGCTACTCCACCCGCGGTTTTCATCGCACAATTTTTCTGGATATACCATTAGATTCGCTATAAAATTCTGAACAAAATGGTTGAGGCCGATTTTCGAAATTCGTTTCCCCCCAAAATTCGACATTATTGGGCGGTCGCCAATGCGACACCTCCCTTTTGGGGCGTTTCCCCTTGCAACTTTCAAAAATCTACTCCTCCAACAGTTTTCATCCTACATTTTTTCTGAATGCACCAATAAACTCACCGTAAAATTTTGAACAAAATGGTTGTAACCGATTTTTGAAATTCGTTTCACCCCAGAAACGAAACCAAGGGCGGTCTGCCATGCGACAGTGTGATTTCTGAGGGTTTCCCCCTAATCTGGGGGGTCAGGGGGAAAACCCCAAATTGGTGGGTGTCGCACTGGCGACCGCCCGTGGATGTCGACTTTTAGGGGAAACGAATTTTGGAAATCGGCCTCAACCATTTTGTTCAGAATTTCACGGCGAGTCTAACGGTGTATCCAGAAAAATTGTGCGATGAAAACCGCGGGAGGAGTAGCGATTTGAAAAACTAACGGGGGTCTCGCGACGGGCCTGTGTGTAACCAAAGCAGTTCCGTGTAAACTATCAGCGCCCTTAGCTCTTTTCCGTAGAGGCGCCTGGGTCAGTGTGCAGTAAAATTTTTAATCTGTTACGATTTCTCTTTTCTTAGGCGAGTTATGCCAAATCTTTTTTTTTACAGCTACAACGATTTCACCAATCATTGTAAAAGCGGCCGGAGAGATGCAAAACAAAGGAATTAAAGATGTTGAAAATTTTTATATTTCACAATTTCATAGCAAGTATCGAGCCGCTTATGGTTTCTACGGCTCGTTTTTATGCGTGCCGTTCATCCCCTGACCAACAGAAATTGCTTTACGGGAAGACATGACCAAGCTAGAACTAAGATATTTCAATAAAAGAATATGAAGCGCGACACGAAACATTCCCTCACAAGGACAGTCGAATAAGTCTGCTTATTTTTTACCAGGCTTCGGCTTGGCTGGCGCCGCGGGGCGGTGGGACAGGACGCTGCCGTCAGGGTTGCGTGCGTAGGCTGCAGATTGCTTGACCGTTCGCAGGACGCCAATTGCAGCGGCATCGCGTGGGCGGGGTAGAGATGGCATGACCGAGGGCCGACGGTCCACGTCAGTGACAGCGGCAGGGCGTGTACGGCCGGTGCGGGTCAGAGACGGCATGGCCGTAGGCGGAGATTCTACGTCAGTGAAACCGCTAGGGCGTGTACGAATCCCAGAAGGCGTGGCCGTGGGCGTAGCGTCCGTTTCAGTGACAATGCTAGAGCTTGTGTGGGTCACCGATGGTGTGATTGTGGTTGGACGGTCCACGTGAGTTGTGAGTCTTGTGACAAGGATTGGGAAGAGGGTAGAGTGGCCGACCGGTTTTGCAGGCTTTGGTGGGTTAGTGTTCGCTATTGGGAACAGGTGCACTGGGGTGCTAGGGGTATCGCTACCTGGCGGTACGGATTGACTGATTATTCTTTGGCACGTTCCATTCTTTTGCTCACTTTGAAGGTCATCGTGCAAACATTCGCATTGTCCATTATTGCAGTCTGGGCCGCATGTTCCATCACACTGGTCGTTTCTTTCGCAAATCGTGTTAACGCAACGTTTGGGCATTAAAGCTGCACAAAAGACCAACGATGTACGACGTGTACTGACGCATAGCATCTTGGTTCACTTACCATCGTCACCCTGGGCGTAAACGACGCACGCTGGAACAAGAACAGCAAAGCAGTAAACAAGACCGGTAATGCTCATTTTCACAAATGTTGACTGATATGGGTGCAATGAAAACCTCGCCTGTGGATAGTCTGTCTTATGTACCGGGCATCACTTGCTTACATCAGCATCGCCTGTCCATGGAAGTCTGAAACCTGGCAAATAACAGGAAATGGATGATGAGGTCTCTGAGAATTTATGTCGATTTATTCGCATGTCAGCGGCAATACCGCTTTATTACAAGAAGATTGAATACGCGGCATAGCCTTCTTAACACTGCAAAGTTCCTGCGGCTTGTCCAAAAGGGAGTTTTGCAATGCAGCTTCCAGGTAACGATCATGCCGCTCGTATCTGTGTACTCCAAATCACCCACTGCTGTTCTTGCAAAATACACCGAAATATGCTTCTGTCAGCATACTTCCAAGAGAATCGTCCTCTTCAGTCAGAGTAATCATACATATTCAGCAGGCTGCCATGAAACACGTTCCGTATGTGCTGACGCTTGTAGCCGGCAAAAAGGTGGACGGCTCATCCACCAATCTGCCAAAGGTCGGCAGAGTGGTGGATGCGATTTCATTGAACATCCACCATCCACCCGTCCACCTTTCTGCCGGCTACAAGCGTCAGCACATACGGCAATAAATCAACAGCAAAAGCAAAGAATTATGATATGCGGTTTTAATACAACTTTTCCCAATATGTTCGACAATCTAGCATAGAATTTTAAAGCTGGCTGAACAGGAATTCACATCAGAAGGTCCCAATCCGTAAAAAAGCGTTGGAAAAAGGCAGCAGTGACTAAAGCGGCCTTGAAACGCATCAACGAGCGCAAATTTAAAAAGATTATTGCCACAGTGAAAAATATTGTCCGAAAAATTTCCGCAGTCTCCGTGCAAGGGTTACTTCTCCAGTTTCATAGTGCTATTTGTTCTGATGGTCTAGAGGCCAAGGTTAAAATGTTTTATAAGTTGATTTTGACGAGAAAAATGGTGTCTTCGGTACCTTGTAACAGGCAAGCGCGAGGAGCTCACAGATGTCTTTATTGACATAAAGGCTGAACACAATGCTGCGTAATAGCAGGAAGAAAGAACAAACTCAACAAAGCCTGTATGGCTGAATCTAGAAAACTGTTGCTAGATGCGTTCACGAGCGTGTCCAAACGTGAGTGACGCTGGCGGCAACAGTGTGCGTGATGCGGCCATATCAGCTGTGTGCTGTGCGCAGACTGGACTCTATCCAACGCGAGCGTATAAGCGCTGAGTCATACGGCGAGAGAGGGACGAGAGAGCAAGTATGCTCAGCGTGTGCGCACGCGGTATATCCACTTCAGTGGATGAGTGCAGTGCAGCAGCACACATACGTACATGAGAGAGGCGAATACGGCATGTAAGTGAGTGCTAGTACGCCACTTGTGGGCGTAGCACCACGCACAGGCTCGTACGCCTGATATGCCTCTGGGCGGGAATCCGAGCTCCCGCGAAGGATGCTCCGACTCGGTACCGCGCCAGTGTATCGCACAACTCTCCGGTGAGACCCATTGTGGGGTCGCCGGTACGCGTCCTCTGGCCGTGGGATTCCGGTGTCCGGTTGACCGTCCCATGTTTTCCTTCCAGACCCGTGAGAGGCAAGCAGCTCACGGCCGAAAATCCGGAGGTCGCTCGGGCGTTTCGTTGGACCGGTAATGCGTCTGTTGGCTGGCTTCTTGCGTCAGTTGGCATCGGAGAACAATGTAAAAAGGAGAAATGTAATGAAGATTTATGCAACGCGAAAGAAAAATATGCAATAAAGTTTAATCACAATTCCTGTGAGCAAGAGTTAAGCAAAACAGATCTGTCAAAGAGATCCAACTAGAAAAATACAATTCCGTTTGTTAAGAAAAAATTCTAGAAAAATGCAAAAATCTGTCCGGGGGCTTTATTCCGACTAATATAACTTCCACGGGGCGTTGAGTCCACGGGGTCTCCTGTCCAATGTTGTCCGGTGGACTGGATCCGAGGCGTCGGTTCTCGGGTTATCCGTCGTGACCGGTAAAATTCACCTAAGTCGGGTAAGCACGGTGAAACACTTACTTCCGACTCGCATGCGTCTGTTGCGAATGGAGAGGCACTGTCGCAGTTGCGAATGCCGAAGCATCCTCTCTATGTGGAGGAGTTAGACCGAGGTCGGTTGACCAAGGTCGGCCTACCGGTAAGTCGACCGGCGGCATGGAAATCCGGCTAAGTTCCGAATTCCATAAGTCAGGTCGGAAAAACTGGTACTCATATCGTGCAACCTTTGTGGCTGCTGAGTAGAGCAGTTCCGTTTAAAAAGTGATCGGTTAAAACCGTTCAATCTGCTACCACGAGCCTGGTTATGGTTTCATCCGAGTCGAACTGGCTCGAAGGTCCGGTCGGAAATTTCATGTTCCAACGGTGGAAATGTTCAGTTGACTACTACCTTGTGCCTTTGTGGCACGGAGTAGTGTTTCCGTCCGTTAACTTCTTGGTCGGCATTCCGTTATGCCGAGCCGACCTGTGGTCGATCATAATGTTATCCAGACATTGGTCGGTTGCAATGATATAAGGTGGGTGGTCGGAAGTTTCGTTCCTCGATGGTCGACCGAGGTAACTGGCGATGTTCGCGTTCTTCTGTCCGACCTCTTCTTTCGATTTGACCACTTTAGCCGACCTGTTGTCGGTCATCATCCGTATCCGACCTTAGTCGGTTATCCATGTTGGAGGTCGGAGGTCGGATATCGGCTTCCGCTGGTCGGTTGAAACAAGTTTTCATCCGTCCAAAAGATGTGTTCTTCCGTTAGGAGGTCGATTTCCGACTGGTGGTCTGGGTCGGATCCGAGTTGGTCGGTTATCCGTTTGGCCATGTAACATTCGATTTGCCTCTGGACGGGTCGGAGTTCCGGCGTCTCCGTCGAGTTATGGCATTCCTGCGACCTGTTGTCGTACATTTCCGACCTCCGTTCGGTCAGTTCCGACCTCCGATTCGAGGTCGTCATGGTCGATTCAATTCCGAGTGTGCCGTCCATCCAGCTACAGTTGACTGGGTCCCTAGTGTCTAAATACCCTTCGGTCAGTTCGGACTGGCAAAAGGACATTCGGCAGCCCAACTCCGTTCTCCTGTGGCTGTGTTGCTGTGGCGTCTGTTGGCCGAGCAGTTCTCACTCCATCAGGC